CATTCGAAAGTGATTGTGGCAAATTAAATAATTATTGTTTATTACGCACGCAAAAGAACACGAGATTTGCGATCGGAATGTTGTCTTGGAATTGGAACAGGACCTCCGAGGAAAATGTAGGCCAGTGCAAGTTACTTTTGTTGTTTCAAGCCAGTTTATCGGTCAACTTGCGTTTAAAAACCAGCACCAACTCAGATGTTGGCCGCGAAGTTTCTCATACCGACTTTTGCATTGTTTTAACCCGAAACAAAGGCACGTTGGAATTGGAACAGGAACTTATTCGTACGAACGCGGAGAAAAATTTGATTTCCTTTCATCCGTGCTCAGTACGAAGTAGTATAAAAGCCCAGTGGTAACTATATGTACCACCTGGTTCAACAACCAGCAACACTGCTATTTGTATTTATGTGTTTCGTATGAGTCTCAGTGTAAACAGCGATTATTTCCTTAAACAGCGTTAACCAGTTGATCTTCGTAATAGTGAAGTGCGGTGTTTTCTTCGCGGTACGGACTGAATTCTTTAATATTAATCAGACGAACTATGATTCTCACTGTAAACAGCGATTATTTCCTTAAACAGCGTTAACCAGCTGATCTGGGTAATGGTGAAGTCTTGTGTTTTCTTCGCGGTACGGACTGAGTTCTTTATATTCAGACGAACTTCGGTTTCAGAGGGATAAAATAGTTCTTTATTACTGGCATCTAGAAAGAGGTTAAATTAAAACTAAGTATTCGTGAACAATATTACACAATTAGGAAGGAATCTGGCACAAAATATTTGTTTTAGATGTTAGGAACAGACATTAAGGAAGAAAGCAAGGTAAGAGATGGGGTATTCAGAACACACTGAAGGAGAATAATACGTAAAATCAAAGAGTTATCAAGCTAGACAACACTGCTAAGCTCTATGCATGTAATGTTTAATCGAATCCCACATTTATTTTGTATGTTCGTCACATGATGACGAAAGTAACCACACTGAGTCAAGAGGAAAACGAGGGAAAGATTTACGTCGGGGTTTTTCCACGAATGTATTTCGTAGTAAAGTCGGTGAGTGTCCATATTTGCAAATATGAAATAAATTTTCCAGGCGATCGATAAACCCGCGGGCCTGCCGTGGTTCGCAGCCGGCGTGTTGAGAGTGAACGACTGTCTCGCGGAGCAGCTGTTTTGCTCTGTCAGTCATTTGTCAGCGAGGGTGGATCAAGGGACAAGACCACAATACGGCAGTTTCTGGCGAAATTGGTGCCCTGGTCTGTCGTCTAGGCTTTGTAGCCTGAGATATTCGAGGTTTTCACGGCTACCAAGATTTGGATTGTCTTCTGGGTTATGACACCGTGCATCATCATCATCATCAGTAGCTTATTTAACGACGTTGTCAGTAGCTGAGACTACGTAGCGTCCAAATGGTACGATGATTAATCAATAATGAACTGGAAACAACTTGGAAGAAAAGTTATCGTGGCCTAATTGGAGAGAGTGCCCCTACATGCAGGTTTTTGTATCATTGTTTCAACACCACGTATTCGAGACAGACGAGGTTAAGCTCCACCTATTCCAATCTTGGCTTCTGATACGACCGGATAATAAGATTTAAAGTGCCTGCCTTTTACCGCAGGAGCAAAGGTTGTCCGTGTCTCAATGACAACCATCACTTGATTAATTAATGTTGTTTAAGGAAATTATCGCTGTTTATTCTGAGAATCATGCAAAACACATAAATATATTTTATTTAGTGTTCTGTCTGACGACAGGTCCATATGAACAGGATCCTTCCATCCTTTTCTCGGACTGGGACCTGTTCATATACGTTCTTGGCAGATGATCCAGAAGTGGTTTGCCATTGCCTTCTTCTGTGTGTGAATGGAGTAATTGTTGGGATGCCACGGAGGAAAACTCCGTGTTGCCTAGACCACGGCCTTGCCCAACACAAGTTATAGATTCGGGCACCGCCGGGAATCGAACCCGAGACCCCAGGATTACAAGGCCAGCGTTCTAACCGCTAGATAAATATAACTGTGGGAAAAATGCAGAGTCGGTGATTAGTGAAACAGCTTGTTAGCATTAGGCGTTACAGGGTTAAGCCAGTTGAAACCTGAAGCTGACTACCAATTTCCGCTTATTTGTAAACTATCACTGAGCATTCAATTGGCTCGGGGGGACAATCTTTGTTTTTTCTGTAAGTCGCGAGGCAGACTGCAAATATGGCGGCAGAGCGAACCTGGAACAAGTCTCGGCTAATTTCTGTTCCAAAGTTCGATTCGCACTGCATCCACGTTTAGACGGCGAGTTCGAATAGTCTGTTCCGATTAGACCCCTACGCCTTGCCCCCCTCCTGCCGTTCCGTTTTCTTTCTTCCAATCAACAGACGTCAGCCTTGGGTTCCATTTTCAGAACCCATCGATCGTACGAGACGTGTGACCTGCTTAATTTAATTAAGAACAAATTCAAGCGACGTTCGATTACAGAAACTTCTGTCTTCCCATCTGCTATCCAAACACCCGAATTTTTAGACACAGCTTAATGTAATACGAACAGTAATTTTGCTTGTTTTAATGTTGCTGTAAAATTCGGCTTCTGTAATGCAAGGACATATGTTTTAGGTGTTTCAGAGCAAAGTTATATCAGAAGGACGAGCGGGCATTGCCTGGGAACCTTCTAGCAGAAATAAAGTCATAACTTCCACCCCCCTTTGCTTCCTTTCTGATCTTCTGAGAAGAATGTTTGTGTCTAACAGAGACGGGGCACTTGAGAAAATTACACTGTACACGTGTCTGTAGTCTGATTTGTGTTTCTTGACGTAATCTTTTTTGGGGGGGGAAGATTCAGTCAAGACGGAAGGGATGGGAAGAACATTCAGCACGAATTGGGGGGGGGGGGGGGGAAAATTTGTGGGAACTTATGACCGAAGAATGACAGTGGAAGATTTGAAGAAGCTTGCCAACATATTTATCATCGGTTGCTTTATTTATCTGTCACAACCTCAACAGTCGTCCTCAGGTAAAACTGATGATGAGTGACTGATCGGGTCGTACTCAGGTTGCACTTTTCAGCACGGACTGGACTGGCTGATAAGACCGCCTCAACAGACATACTTTCACGTCCCTTTGTACTGCCACACAAGAGCACTTGACATCACAGTGAACAACTGCGGAGAATAAATATTTGGAACGAAAAAGAGACTGGATAACGGGTGGAGGAAGGAAAGTACACAACAGCGAACATCAGCAAACGATGACTTATCATGAAGGAGGATTAAATGTTCAGGACATGTAGCAAGCATGGTGAAATAGACTCTTAATACATAATTTAGGTCGGGAAACTGAAGGGACTAGTGTATTTTGAAGACGTGGGTGTACATGGGAAGATAAGACAAATGTTCAAATGGATATTGCATTAATTGCGTGTGGACGGGGTAGGGAGGCTCGCTTAATCGAACACGGCAATGAAATTTTGGGTTTCATTTAAAAGGGGGGGGGGTTACTGAAGAGTGGTAATCAGTCTGCCCTCTTGAAAACGTTTTACCAACTTATTTTTCGCGTGTCAGAAATGCAAAATGTTTAGTTGCGTTCTAATTACAATGTAGTAGCAGGAGCAGTCGACTTTTATTCGTAGTGTATTCTGTTTCCGCGAAGTTCGCAGTTTCAAATTCCAATTTCTATTTGGCAAGAGCTGCAGCCAACATGCGGATAATATTTCAAGAGTGTGGACCTCAGAACCCCTGGTGACAAGTTCACAAAATGTTTATTTTTCCCGTCCATTAATCTGTGAGAACAGACAAGCTCTGTCTTTAATAAACTTCCTCACATCTGCTGCATCGTAGGAAATATTTTGCATTACTCCCAAAGGCTTTCGATGGCAGATAATCTCATTCTTATCTAGCCTAATACACGATGAAGAACATACATTTTAAAATTGATTTGATTTCCTGTGAAGCCATAAATAGACCTCTGTGTTGAGAGCTGGCAGACGCCTCGTTGAAAGATAAGAATAATTTGTTACGACGGAAAATGACGTTTCTTAAACAGGTGTTGGTGTTCAATGGATCTGTTTTGTCGCGTGGTCCTCATTTTCGTGGCAACGCACGACATTTCTAAATGAAAGCAAACAATTTTCTGCATCAGTGTCTGCCAATTTGTAGGCGTTGGTCCAAAAAGTAATGCAAAATCGAAATAAACCGGTGCGAAATACAATGAAAAATTCATAGCGCTGTTTAATAAAAAATAGACTATAGACACACAAAGTGGATGGTATTCTTTACCATTCCTTACTTTTACTCAGTCACCTTCTCTGCTGTGTTTCTTTGAGGTATTTTTTATTACCTAATTCCTGCCATTTGATGTACTCTGTAACTCCCTGCAGAAATCATACCAGGAGTTCGTATCGCCAGCCGTGTCTGTCTGTCTTTGCTTTGCCATTGGATGTTTTCCTGCTATTGACGGGGGATTCCCGGAGGCTTTGCACTTGTTTGCTTACTTAAACAAATGTATTAAGCATTTCTTATGATTCTCAGAATAAACAGAGATTATTTCCTTGAACAGCGTTAACCAGCTGATCGTTGTCATGGAGACGCGCAGTTTTCTTTTAGACAACTGCTTGTTATGTAAATGAGTTTTTGGGTTTCGGAGCATTAATGGCGACTTGGTTCGATTACTTAACGACATTCTATCATCTACTAAAGATATTTCGTACGATTGGCCACTTCATAACCCCTTAATTTCTGCCGAGCACAAAACAAGGCCTAAACTAGTGGGGATTGCAGAGGACACGGTAGTGTTTTGAGAAAGCACATGAAAGTATTGAACAGTTCGACAATCAAATCTCGCCGCCACAAGGATCGAACCGGATATCATCCACTTTACCGACTGAGCTGTGCGGAACGGCTTATATAGGCGCTCCGATATAACTGGGTGGTCCCTGCATCTTGCATTGAATGTAGGCCACATGTAATTTAATTCCACCCAGGGACTTCCGGTTCTGTCATTAAGAGTCTCGCCCTGGAAGCATGCGCAGAGCAAACGACAGTCTTCGACTTGGTTGAGCAACGTTTTTAAATGCGTTGGACATACGCGGCCTTCGGGTCAAACCAGCGGCAACACAGGCACGGCCGGAGGTATATTTCTGACTTCCACAGTGAAATTCGTAAAGTAGAAACATAGCAATAATAGCGAGATTGTGGTTTTTAATAAGGTGGCATTACGGCAGATGGCGTGGCCTGGGGCAGGGGTGGCAACATTGGAGGACCGCGTAAAGAACTTAATAATGACGTGGACAATAAGCGAAACTGTTTCTTCAACTCAGTGAGAAAATATGTATTAGCTGTATTCCTTCATAAAACTTGGTTAATTGTTAAGACGTTGTTTGTTGGCTTTGAAACATTTAAAAAAAATCCAAAGTCATTGTTGGTTTTATAAAACTGCTATTATTACTTCAACAATATTGTTCACATCTTTTCAAGGCATTACAAGTAGCTGCCGTTAATGTCAGTGTTTTAAAACCGTTCACAAACCAAAGTCAGTGACGAAGTTTGTAAAAGCTTGTATCAACAAATCGACAACAATGTGTAAATATGTACCTACAACAATGGTCAGCTTGCGTGCATTGTTATGTTACCTAGGAAACGTCATCTGTTTACTCGGCATTGTTGTTACCTAGGAAAACGTGTAAGATCCATATCAACAATGTGTAAATATGGACCGACAACAATGGTCAGCTTGCGTGCATTGTTATGTTACCTAGGAAACGTCATCTGTTTACTAGGCATTGTTATGTTACATTACTGCCGTCAACAATCCGCTTTCGTAACAAGATATATGACATTGAAGATAACATTACGTTACAGAGACGTATTTACGTCAGATTCTCCGGAACCGTCGTTCCACTGTAACTTTTTCTTTGTATTTCAGGAAGAAGCGATACTCAGTGGTACAGTTCAACTGTCACGTGACATGGCGGTGTGTCTTTGCTGTCGTGAGCTGCAGGAAACAGCGAGCTAGCGGCTAACTCCAGATCATAATAAAAGTGTCAGTTGAAAAACAAATCATACCAATGACAGTACAAAATTAATAGGAAACATATTCTAGTGTGATAAAGGAACAACCAAAGACATTTAAAAAATGTACAGTTTAAACGTGAACTTGGCCAGTAGCGCCTCTAACGGCGGTAGCAGTAACCTGCTGGGTGTGGAAACTTCGTGTACCACACCGAAAACTCCCGAAATTCTGAACTCTCTGATCGCCATGACTAACCCTTTCGACGGGTACACGGCGAGGAACATCCCGCGCATAGCGTCATGCCCCCCGGGGGGCAGTGACACTAGTTCCTCAAGCACGGGGTCCCCCCTCGGGAGCCCCAGCTGCACCTCCCCGCCCAGCGTGCAACATACGTGTTCCCAGCTCATCAAGGAGGGCCTCAAACTGACGATACAGACAAAGCGGAGAAACACCGGCCGACATCTTGAGAATCTTGACTCACCGCGTAACAACAAAATGGCGAGGAGAGAGGAGGTGAGTAGTCACGAATATGACTATGATGGTCTCTTCTCGCCAGGTGTCGGGGTAAGTCGAACTTATTTTTATCCGCGGTGCCTTCAGCTTTGTAAAGTCACAATCGCAATCCTTTCAACGCTGAAAAAATTACACATTTCGGGTACAGATGCGTTCGGTCCTTCTATAAACAACATTAAAAATCTGTATTAAGCCACGGTGGTCTAGCGGTTAGAACGCTGGCCTTGTAATCCTGGGGTCTCGGGTTCGATTCCCGGCGGTGCCCGAATCTATAACTTGTGTTGGGCAAGGCCGTGGTCTAGGCAACACGGAGTTTTCCTCCGTGGCATCCCAACAATTACTCCATTCACACACAGAAGAAGGCAATGGCAAACCACTTCTGGATCATCTGCCAAGAACGTATATGAACAGGTCCCAGTCCGAGAAAAGGATGGAAGGATCCTGTTCATATGGACCTGTCGTCAGACAGAACACTAAATAATAATAAGATGAGATCAAGAAATTATTTGTGGCTTCAGAAAACTGGTGACTTGCAGCTAATAAGCCATCGTATAAACCGAAGAATGTGTTGGTAATTTTTCTCGGAAATGTGGCATTGAAAGGGTTGACGACTTTGTGCGGTGTTGTTTGTTATTTGGTTAAGTTTCTCAACGTACTAAGTCGGCTAATTTGTTTGTCAGTGGGTCTAAAGTCTACTGAATTTGTTGCCAGCAAATGCCGATAATTTAAAGTCACCAACCCTAGACATAAGACTAAATTTAAAGTGACATAATTTATGGTGATGTAACCATCACACGCCTGCCCCCCCCCCCCTGGTTACTATTTTATTGTTTAACGCAGTGCGATGTAACCCGCTGCGGTATTACCAACTTAATCTCAAACTTTTACATGTGTCTGGGTGGTAACACGTGTTCTTACAGTGTGTCAGACTGCGAAATGTAACGACATTAGATTTGGTCCGAAATCGAAAGACTCGGGCAAATTAAGCTCATCATCCACACCAACTGTGTGGTGCAGGCGGCAGCTGATAGTTGCTCAGAATGTCATTATGTGAAGTCTGACTGCTTATCGTTGCAGCTTACGGCGGAAGACGAGGAACGTAGAAGGCGTCGTCGAGAGAGGAACAAGATAGCGGCCACCAAGTGTCGATTAAAGAAGAGAGAACGCACAGTTAACCTGGTGCAGGTAGGTGATGGGGGGAGTCTTTAATCTGGAAAGTCTGTCTTTAAAGCTGGGGTGCACCATTCCGCTCTCATTTAAATAAAGCCAGGGTAGCAGTCTACAGTGGCTGATTACGGACTGGACGACCGGGGTTCGATCCCCGACAGTGGCAGAGGATTTTTCCTCTAGCCTCTGCGTCCAGACGTCTGGGGTCCACCCAGCCTCTTATCCAGTGGGTACCGGGGACCTTTCCCCGGACATGAAGCAGATTTTAATGGTTTTTCTCAGCCGTTCCAGACCTCGATAGCGAGAAACCGTCTTAAACAGATGAAGTAGGTGCCTGGTGCCCGATCAGTGCGCCACTGCTCATCTATCGAAACGTCTAAAAATACATTTGCCTTGCTGTGCGATTCATTGAGAGCTAGAAGGTTTGACTACACCGCTCACTGGTCGCTGTTTGTGGTCGGAGTGTGGTTTCGTACAGAAATTAATTTCAGCCCGATTTGGAACGGGCATGATCGACGTTTCAGTTCTGTAATGTGTGGTGAATACAATCTTTGTCTTATTGCAGTGTAGAGAATATAAACTAATATCAGTGCATAGGCTAATCACATTAGTCGTAGCTTCTAGTAAAATACCCTGGAGAAATGGAAATGAGTGAATGTAAATCTCTCGTTCATATTCAAGTGGACTTTGATTCAAATCTCAGCCTGGAAACTCGCTATCCTGTCAGGTTTTTCTGAGGTCGAGGTCGAGGCCTCGTCCCCTCCAGGAAAATCATGTGATGGTAACTAGGGCATTACCACTTTCTACATTCTTTCCCATCACTCCCATCGCATCCTGTGGTTCATTAGAGGTCAAGCTGAATCCATTTCATCTTAATCAGTTCAGTATGGTACATAAAAGCTTTAAAAATACGTGTTTCAGGAATCAGAAGTTCTCGAAAACCAGAACCAAGACTTGAAGAACCAGATACAAGAACTGGAGACTCAGAGGCGTCGGCTGATGGACATGCTTTCGATGCACAAGCCCACGTGTATGAAGAACCTGCCTTACAGTCCAGACAACGCTGCTGCCACCTACTGTGGGGACCCCGCGACATCCATCGCAGCAGCTTTCTGTAACGACACCACCACGACCACTTCCTCCGGTGGGTATCACCACTACAGTGGGGTTTACACGGACAACGGGTGCATGGCGTAGTTGCCATGTGAGTGTACGCAAATGAGGGCACGGAGTGAAATATTTAAAATGTTTCGACCACTAGGTGACAATAAAGAAGCCACTACATAAATTGTAAACAGTTTGAGTCTTGCAGACGAAGAAAATGTGAGAATTCGGAGTATTTTGTTTATGAAACAGCAGTTTTCTCAAAGACAAGTGAACACTAATGCCGATGGCACGAGAGAACTCCCTCGTACTAAAAGTGCAACTTAAGAAAGGACCTTCTTTTAGGTTCTTCAGGTGACAGCTTAAGGAAGTGCGTTGATCGTGGCAACAGATGCTACGAGTTACAAGACACTGGACAGAGACTTGGAGCATTCCGCCATTTTAGTTTTGAAGACGGCAAACC